CCTCTCTTGCTTAAAAATAACTTCTTTATATATGTTTCTTTAAATAATATTTACATTAATGCGTTGTTTAAATAGTGTTTTTAAACACTATTTAAATTGCACTTCCTTCCAAATTATTTCATATCTTTATTAAAATTTTCAAAGTTCTCGTGTTGAAGATATAACCGAATTTGAATCTATTAAAAATTACATTCTTGAGTACATTCCATTTCACGCATGATACGCATGATGTATTAATTATTTTATTCTTTAATATTCGGTGAACAAAAATAAAATGTGCATCATAATGAAACGGACCCTTATTTCATTTGATAAATAATAAAGATGTTGATAGCGCGTTCATCGAATGCAGTCTAAAGTTCGTATCACATTACGCATTGAAGATTACGAATTAAAGATTAAAATTCGACCATTCAGATCATTTTAATTTTAATCGATTTTATTTCTGATTGGCTGAATTTTTTTCAATTCACAATCTTCAATCTCCAATATAATGCATAGTGTGAGATTATGCATTGAAGATTGAAATTAAAGATTAAAGATTGAAATTTTACCAATGAGGACAAGAAGTTTAGACTCTTTTTATTCAAGATTGGTCAAATTTCAATCTTTCAATTTTCAATCTCATTCTTCAATACGTAGTCTGATTCCAATCTGACACAGACGTAAAGCTTTGTGTTTACGAGACTAAAAATCTTGTACAGAAAAAGGATTTATCAATCGTACTGGTCAATTAGTCGAATTGTTCAAATATGATTTATTAATGTAATTTGTTTTTTTCTCCGTCTAATTTTGAACACGAGGTTCGAGACAGTGGTGCTGATAATGCTATTTTCAACACTATCTTATCTTTCAACTGCGAAATTTAAGACTGATCGTATTATTTTATTTTTGTTCATTTTCTGCAAATTATCATTTATTTATAAAAATATATTTTTAAAATATATTTTTAATTAATAAATAAGTATAATACATTAATATAAGATGCCGCAAATGCTTTGTCATTAGTCATTTTCAAAATTGCATGAAATTAGAAATACTTAACAAATTCGAGCAAACATTGCATGTACATTAAAGCATCATCTTTTAGAATATGCAAGATATTATTTATAATTTGATATAAAACGCGACATATGTTTTTGCGAGTTGCAACATCATTTTTTTAAATTCCTATGAACTTTTAAACAATTAATAGTATAGTATTTTATAGGTAATATAGACATACAATGATATCGCACAGTAAAAGAAAAATATTCTCAAATATCATCTTTTATTTTCGATATTGATATAATTTTGCATGTATCATTATTGTAATTGTTTTTTAATTTTATCGTGCATACACGAATTATTAATTATTAATATGCTCAAATAGACAAGCGATTTTGTGGCGCTATAAACAAGCATCGATTTTTTCAAGCATGAAGTATATGTGTGTGAATAGGTTGACGTTTATTTATCGTGTCGTGTCACAAAGTAATTTATCTATTTTCTGATCCCTTGTAAATATGAAACAGATAACAATTCTTAGGACTTGTGAATACAAAGATAGTTGTAACTCGTAGAATGAGCCAGCAATGTTTAGTGTAATCATATCGATATATATATATGTATGTATAGCTGGGCAAACTGTATCATTACAGTATTTGGAAACAAAATACTATCAACTCTAGTATTTAAATTACAAAATATAAAATATTTTTAATCTTTTGATTTTAAATACAAAATACTTTCAAATTCGATTTTTTAATCAGAGCTGGCCAAAATACATCAAAGTATTTAAAATACAAAAATTTTAGTATTTGAATTGCAAAATACAAAATACTTTCAATCTTTTGATTTGAAATACAAAATATAAAATATTTCTAAATTTTTTTATTTGAAATACAAAATACTTCTTATTGTTAAAAATACAAAATACTTTTTAATTCGATGTTTTAATTACGAATAGACTCTTCTCCATTTTTCGAATTTTTAGAGAGAAAGAATGACAGAGAGAGAGAGAGAGAGAGAGAGAGAGAGAGAGAGAGAGAGAGAAGTTCTCATTCTCTTGCACTCTTTAAAAGTCCTATTGTCTTATATTATCAATTGCATAAAAACTGCATGAGAAACTTATTTTCTTCTTATGATCTCTGCGAGATCATAAGATTTGATAATCCTAACAACTGACTATGTTAACGCTTGACACTGTTTGAAACTTGAAAATAAAGTTAATGCCGTCAATTGTCATAAAAGCAAAAATTTAAATTACTAGTATCGCTGTCAAGGATTTTTATTAAAAATTATTTTAGTATTTCAAATACAAAAATAGAAATTGTATTTGAAATACAAAATACCAAATATTTTTATGTGTTCCGTTGAAATATAAAATACAAGTTCTATTTCAATTACAACTTGAAATCTGTGCAGAGCTTCTATTAGTGAAAAGGAACATATTATTTTTTCATATGTTTCTTTTCAAGAATAGAGGCTCAGCTCTATATATAGGTACGATGACCTTATGTCCTTTATTGTAAAGGACTGTCCTTTATTGTAAAGGACAGTCCTTTATTGTAAAGGACAGTCCTTTATTTTAGATAGCTGTCCTTTAGATTTATTTGTTCTTTCAAAACTCAATTTTGTTCTTTACTGTTCTTTATTTTGACATTACGGGAAATTCTTTTCGAGCTAACGTTCCAATATCTATAATATTATATTAATGAGCAAATTTTTACGGAAAATACTTTACAGTTTCATGCATATAAATATAATTTGTTTTTATTAATTATATATTTTAAATTATTTCTTATATTTTTTAAATCTATTCAAACTAGAATTGTTTTTATTTTTTTATTATTTCGAATCTTTTATTACTTCAGATCAAGGATTTGTTCCAATACAATCGAACAAGTTTCAAACTTTCAGAAAACTGCGCATTATCTCAATTTGATTATACTGTGCCATAAAATTTTATAATGCACAGATTCTTATCAGTCACAAATTAGTTTAAAAATATGTAGAAACAAAGCCCTAAAATTTTCAGATTTTCCTTTCCTCTATTTTCTTTAAAAAAATATAGTCACCATATGTATAGGCTACATTCGAGGGGAAGAGGTGTGTTATTGTCGTTCCAGCTTTAGGTCAAAGAGTAAAGAGAAACAGTAAGGAATGTTTAGTTCTAAGTAAGCGGACGGAAGTGACTATATATACTAGCGTAAACACTTAAGATGGTTACCATGTACATCGTCCGCGGATTTAGCTACCCCCCACTATTGATACATTTCCTTCTTTTCTCTTTACTCTTTGCTTTAGGTGCATTTTTTTACGCTTATAAATATCATTAAGTGTATTCAGTATTACAAGTATTAAACATTAAAATCAAATATTAAAATTAAATATTAAGCAAGAAAACAAATTAATGGGTGCATTCAGTATTATGACCGCTCACTGAGCGCTCAAGAATATGTTGATGCTTACAGCGTGAAAACGGAATGTACCTTTCATCATTCATTAGATGTAAAACATTTAGGATAGAATGATGCAATAGCGCTGATACTTTTCGAACACACAGTCAAAGTTATCAAAACATTGTAAATGTTAACCTACCTAGTAGGACTATGACTTACGTTCTACGAATGGTTTAGTTACAATCATTTCTCTGTTTTTGTGCTCAGATCTTTTATTCTTCATTACTGCTAGCAATGTACTGCAGACAATTTTAAACTTTAAAAGTCGGCAGGAACAACGAGAAACTCATTTAAATTTCATTAGCGGGATATTTCCCTAACGGAAAAAAAAATTTTTTAACAATAAAATTGGAAAAACAAGACCGTTTATGTTACAAATATACTTTAAGTACGAAGTGCCACTACGGTCTGAATGTTAAGATGTACTGTTCATATATATTCATATAAATGAATTAATTTCAGAAATGATAATTTCCCAAATTAATCTTAAAAAATTACTACTAATACACTTACAGTTTTTTAAGATTAATTTGAGAAATTTGGGGGGATTATTAATATTTCAAATTGATTGCGTTGAAAGTCCAACAACTATATTGGCACGCAATTATCATTTCTGAAATTAATTCATTTATATGAATATATATAATTGTTCAATATCTTAACATTCAGACCGTGGAATTTCATATTTAAAATGAAATTTTTTTTAAACTATAAATTGAGACAAGATCTTAGAAATTCTTAATTTTTTGTATATAACAATCTTAATGCACTGAAACAGTGCACAAAAGCCAAATAAGTGGCACTGAACAAGTTCGCACTAGTGAGCTAATGGTCCGAATTTGCTATTAGAATTTCTAAGATATTGTCTTAATCTATACAGTTTTAAAAACTTTCCGTCAAGAACATATCTGCATTCTATCATATATATTGCCTTGCAGAACAAATATTTTGTCATAAGACTTGTTTTGATTTACTTATATTTTACGAAATTATGAATTAAGCCTTTTAAAGAATCAGATTTTGCAATTTCATTCTTAAAAATATTATAATAAAAAAACGATCTGATTTTTACTCATGGTATAGATATAATTACAAGGAGTATCATATTTTGTCTTATAGAAACAATATTTTGTTATGAAATTTTTTTGACTTCTTTTTTCATGAAACTGCGTACAGAGATGTAATTTAGTTCTTAAAACATAATAAATAAAATTATCTGTATCTCAACTGCACTTCAATACAAGTGAAATATTAAACTCGATATTAAAACGAATTTTTATTTATTTATTTTTTTTTTTTCAAAAAAATGATCTATATGTAACTTTCTTAATTACAAATATCGCTATTGCGATTTTTTCAATATTATAGTCGTAATTTAGAACGAAAAAAATTCATCTTTGATAAGATTTCCATCATGATTCCTGTCAGCTTAAATACTCTTCTTATTTTACTTATATTTAATCTTGATTGTGTGTTACTTTGACTTTAAAGGGAGGGGGGAAGCTTAAAACTCACTTTTTCTCTTTAAAGCCGAGAAAGAAAAAAAGATAGAATTTTAAGCCTTGTTTAAAATCAAAGTAAAGCACAGACTTTCGCGATAGTGTTAAGCGAATCAACTAATTAGAATTTTTCCTTTCTTCTCAATCAATAGAAAAGAAGAATTTCGATTGATTGATTCTTTATGCATTATGCAAGAGTCTGTACTGCGGCCATAACACCATATTGTTGGTACAATGGTCTTAGTCCTTTACGCCATTACGAAAACAATACATTGCAGTATGGTATATTCATCCAATTTGATTATTTAACTATCATAAAAATATTGTAAAAAAATTTAGTCGTAGCGTCAGACATTAAGAAATATAATGATATTAAAAGTAAATGTATTTTTATTAATAAAAAACTTCTAAGCAATGAAAAAGAATATATTGCAAACCGAAAAAGATTTAAGGGAATCCTAAAGTTTATTTTACCGATTAAACGCAATGATTTTCATAGAACGATATCGCATATATTATTTTTATAGATTTGGAAATCCTCCAGAATTAAAATATACGCATTAATACGTCTATTGCAGCTTGGAATTTATACCGAGAATGACAAAAATTTTTGGAATTGTAATTTTTTTATCATTTCTCAGTCCAAAATGACATCAAGTCATAACAACATTTGCTTGAAAATTCTGTAATTTGTACTTACGAAATTGGAAGTTGCAAACTAGTAGATTACATAAAAAAATAACATTGAAATCTTGAAATAAAAAAATATTTGGAATAAAATATTTAATCCTTTTACACGAGCATTTGATATGCGTGTTAACTAGTAACTTTCTATTAAATATTTTAATTTCTGCAATGTATTTAAAGAATAATGTATTAAATTGGTATAATATGCATCAAAATGATTAATTAAATGATTAATTAAATACATACATCATGTATATATGTGTTTACACGTATTGCCAAAATTAAGATAATTCAATAAAAAATTATTAGTTATCTATATCAAGTACAGGTACATGCTAGGACTATTAGGACCACTTCGACCAACTCCGATTAACTTTATCGATGCTTAGTCCATTGGAATTGCATATCAAGGATAGATTATGTCCGTTTCTACCAATGTGATTTAATTTTAATCTCGGTTCAAAAAACTCTTTATCTTTTTTTAGTTCTAAGAATTATAAAAAAATGAAGAGTAAGTTGAACTAAGATTAAAGTTAATTTACATTGGTCGGAAACGGGCATGATCGAAATGGTGTATATCAACTGCTCACATCAAATTTGCTAATTTAAAATAATATAATATAATATAATAATATAATGTAATCTCATTAATGAAGCAGTGAAAAATTATTAACAATAAAAACAGACCGATGTGAGTGGTGTGTGCAACTGAATTATGTATAAATGCGCCGTTCCCGACCCTAATAGCGTTTTGCGTTTTCCTTTGGGATGCACTGGGTGTAGCCTTGCATCATGCAGAGGTGTGTCCGCAGATATGTATAGTAAAAAAATTGCACAATATACATAACGACAACTATCGGTAGATGTATAAAGAATAGCATCCCAGTTATATGTAAGCTGTACTGCGCTGGAATAATACACACCATGGTATATACTACTTCGTTATTGTGCTAAAAATTCTATTTCTGATTAACTTACATTTTCAAATTTTAAAGCCCAATTCCACAATTCACGATTAACTCTTCAATCGTGAGTTACAGGTCTTAATGTTATAATAGAGCCATACTGGCTCTACACCGTAATCACTGAAACCGAATGAGTTCGTCTACCACCAGCCATAGAAGCACGTTACATTGTCTGAGTGCAGCCAAAGGAAAAAACTATTAAACGCTATCGTTCTACGAAAATTTATATATATATATA